TGAAAATAATGAAAACTTTAGACTAGGTTATCTATGCTCAACTCATGTACAGCTGGCATGTATAAATTCTCACCCCATCCGATCTTTTGCTATTTAAATTCATACATTATTTTAAGCAGATCCTAGACAATGAAGTGTTTTTCCTTGGTGGATTGTTAGATCTGATATAATTGTTAATTGTGACGATCCTGCTGTCTTAAGTTTGATATTACTGTTCCAAAAATGTCTTGTGGAGATGTAAAATGAACAAAGAACTTGAAGTCCGTGCAGATTTCAGCAAAGTCCATGACTGCTGCTGAACAACCCTGTTCAAATATACCTGTTATTACTATATTATCCAAAGTTGCAATAAAGTTGTTAAAGAATTTTGAAAGATCTGCAACTAATCCTGAGCCTATCCAAGATAGCGTACACTGTGTACCTTTCTGACCCCTGAACTATCTACTACTTTGTGACATCATTTCTTTCTTCACACTTCAATATGTTTTGATTCTTGGGGGAAAGTCCTTTTCTTTTTCTATTTGTTATTTCTGTTGCTTGGTATTTATTTACGCTTCCATTGGACTAGGTTCTTTCCATGTTAACTTGGTTCAATCAACAATTCAAGAACCCAGGAAATGTAACAACGGACCTAGAGTCTCAAAGAGAGAGCAATGAATTGGAAATTCATTTTGTGTTAACTGTGGCAAAGGGGGATATACGTTCTCTGATACTGCTTATTCATTTTTTCTTTTACTCAGTCAGAGGTTTTGAATTTTCTATGAGCTTATTCTAGCCAATGGATACACACATGAAGAGTATAGAGACATTTTCTCTAGATTCAAGGTTGAACTTCTTTGCTTGTATTCTATTGTGTTTGGACTAGTTACCTATCTCCAGTGGTGTTTGTTGAATATCTTTGGTATTTGTAGCTTTCTTTTTCCCAGTCATTTTCTTGCTGGTATAAGGCTGAGTTTGTAATGTTTTTGAGAATCTTATGCAGGAGGGTTCTTGACATTCAAACCTTGTATACCCAAGAGCTTGTTACTAGATGGAGAACATAATGTTGAATCACACTTTGCTCTTGTAAATTACCAAGTATGTCCCTATTAGCATGTTTTTTTTTTTGGTTTTAATTACCTTGTCATGTCTTCTCATGTTTCATTCTTATATACATTTATGCAGATAAAACAAATAAGGACTGCCCTTGCTGTTGCTTCATTGCTGAATCGTACATTGGTAAGAATCCTTTCCTCTTTAACCCAGTCTAAAATTTTGTACTTTGAAGATGTAAATCTTTTAGAGTAAATCTTATATACACTAAAAGTGTATACATTATCATGGTTGGATGCACGATACATTTACAAAATTTGGGTTTCAAATTCAAATTCGGATTATGTGTCGTGCATCCAATGGTGAAAGTGTATACACTGTTAGTGTATAAAAGATTAAACCAATCTTTTATACTCTGAGTAAAAAATTCTCTACTAGGATGCCCAGCTTGATGCGCAATGAGTACTAATAAAATTATGAAGGCCTTTTGAATGGACAGCTAGCAAAAAAAAATAGAAGTAAAAAAATAAAAGCAAGGAAACCCAATCTAAGACAATGTACTTCTAAGGTGTTAATCTTTTAAACCCTGACAGTGAAAAAGGTTGTTTACTAAGAGTCCCTGCTTGATGTGACATAAGCACTAATTGGATTGTCAAGGGCTCTTTATGAATGCAAGTCTGCTCATGATAGTTCTCATACCGTCGGTCTGTGAAAGCTTAATCTTGTTTATGTAACATTATTAAATTACCTTGGAAGTTGATTGTCTGTATGGAATCTAAGATGCAGCATTATTTTCATGTCTTGATCTCTCTTTGTTCTTATTTGTGATTTTAGGTAATGCCTCCGCTCTGGTGCAGGTTGGATAGGTTATGGTTTGGACATCCTGGAATTTTGCAAGGCAGTATGACGAAACAACCTTTTATCTGTCCTTTGGATCATGTATTTGAGGTACTAAATGCTTTTAGGACTAATTTGCCTTAGAAGAATTATAATAAAGACGCTCTTCAAACCAGTTTGGTTGCTTAGTTAATTGGTTCATACCTATGCTAACCGAAAGAAATAGGATGGCATTGCAGGTAGGGGAATGAAAAATTATGTCCTGTCTTCTTGCAAGTGATGTACTTGGTATAAGACTATCTAGCAATTGGCCTTAGAAGTAATTGACATTTGCAATTGGCTATGGTTTCCCTATGTATTTACTAAGTAGTCTCTGCTTATTAGATACGCTGATAATGATAGGTTCTTTCCAGGAGTCCATTCTATGGTCGAGTAATAATAATGGACTCTTAATGTTTCTGAAGTTTCATTACTGAGTTGAGGCTGCTGCTTTTTGTCACAATACTTTTCAAGGAGCCTTGTTTTTTTCTCATAAAGTCAATTTCCTGTAGAGAAGCTCTACAGTATGTAAAAAGTACCACCTCATGATGCAGGTGGAATCATCTTAAGTATCTTGTCTCACAATAGGTTTGCGAGTATAATCTTTTGTTCAATGCATCTATAATTTCCTATGAACTGTGTTCAGTTTCGGTTAATTCCTTGTAAAATTTCATTCAGGTTAACACAATGTTGAAGGAATTGCCAGAGGACGAATTTGGACCACCGATCAGAATTAGGGAATATTCTTTATTTGATAATCCATCAATGCCCAAGAAGGTTTCCCTTTGAGCTGCTAAACAACAGCTTTATGACTTTGCATCTCTGGTGACATCTCAGTGACAAACTCTGATTATGCCTTTTTTTTTTCCCAGGTGAAAGAATCATGGCTTGATGTAAATCTTTGTCAAGAGGGGTCACGAGGTTGTGAAGTTTCGAACAGTACAAGTCAAGCTGGAATTCTCAAATTTCCAAAGCGTAGTTCTGAAGAAACGGTATGATTTCTGCACTAGACTTCAAATCTATTTAGTGGATTCCAGAACTTCTACTGTTTCATATGTAATAGTTATTCAACTTGTTTTTCAGAATTTTTTCTCCGTGAAGGTTTGGATATTGCTGATTGTTGGCATTTTATCCATCAACAGATTTAATTATCTGCATTAGTGCAAATACCAGTAAACAGAAATCTGGTGAAATTACTTGTGGTGACCATTAAAATGGCATCTTTAAGTTTGCAGTAGCTTTGCTACTAACAACCATCAACCATTCTTGCCAGAGATGGTCTATTCGATAGCAGTTTAAGGGAAATAGGACAAATATCATGGTTGATTCATTGAAAATGGGCTAGGGGTTGTTTGACAACTCTATTAGGTGCCCAAATGAACAGATACAGAATTCTTTTATTTAACCTATTTGATAACAAAATCTGCCTACATGAATATGCCAAGCACCAATTAACCTGTGTTATTTCCTTCAGCTTATCTCAATCCTTATTGTTTTCAGCATCAGTTATTCATATTTTAGAAAACACACGTATGGTGGGCTATACCCAGACAAACAAACTGGAATCCATTCCATTTCTTTCATCTATCTTGGGGTATTATCTTTTGCATTATCAGTTCTATGTATTTTATATCTGCCAATCCATCAGACTTTGAAGATCTGTTACTGACCAACATTAAAACTTGGTTGTTTCAATCAGTACAAGACTGTATTCTCATCATTCAAAGATGTTGAAGTCATCCAGTTCTCATCGATGCAAGATGCCTTCTCAGGCTTCACCGACAAGGTTATATCTCTCTCTCTCTTCACTTGTGTTTGTATGTAATACATACGCTTGCCTGTATGTGTGTTAAGTCTCTGCACATTTCAAGCTTTCTAGGAATTTATATCTATTTTGTAAAGGCACTAACTGTAATAAACCAATGATCAGTCAATGGAGGACAAATTCAGGAAGCGTGTGAAGATATATACAGGTATATGGTGTTGTGTGGAAAATCATACTCCGGGTCACATATTCTATGACATCTATTGGGATGAAAAACCTGATTGGAAACCTAAACCGCCTCAAACGCCGGAGGAAGATCATCCACCTGTTTAACACCTCTCACCGGTTATCTTGATGTTGGTCCACTGCTGAAGTAACTTGAGCAGAGCAGCAGGAGGAAATGCTAGAGCTATTCTCATAACTGTAGCTGCATTATTAGAGCTGTATGCATACCAGACATGTAAGTTCATATCTATAGATCTACAAGGCTGGCTAGCTGATCTCTGGGATAGCATAGTTTGTAATTTGTATTACGTATACACGTACAAAAGAGTTTTGGTGGTTGTCCAATTGGAAAAAAGGCAAATAAAAGGTTAAATACCCTTGTCGAAAAATAGTTGTTGCTAATCTCTTAGCAGCACCAATACAAGTGTAGGGAAAATAATCTGAAAGTCTTTTTTGCGGGGGGAAAAGGCAAGAGACTTGATATTTAAATTGGGCCTCCTGTTTTCTTTACTTTTTTTTTTTTTTTGTGTTTTTGGATAAAAGGAGCAGCTATAGACTCCCCATGAGTCCCAACATAAAACGTGGTACGATAAATGAACAACTTACCAGCTTATAAAAAAAAACAACAGAATGACATTCACTTTAGTTTATGCAACGGGTTCTTGTACAACATTTCACGGAGAAGATCCAGAAAGAAATTCCTAATTGCACAGATGTTTCTACAAAGGACTTTGTTTAGATGCTAGGCTCGAGAATATACATTTCAAACTCTCGAATTGGATAAAAATGTTATTAGCAGGTGCAGATTATAAATTTAGTTTCTTAAGCTTTATTTAGACGTTAGGCTCAACCGCTCAAGAATATCCATTCCAAACTCTACCAAGTGCACAAGTCTTATTTCTACTCTTCTTCTAACACCCCAAATTTCTAGCCAGAACAAATGGCTGGGGAAATCTAAATAAAGTACTTGCTATAATCTCTCTCATTCTCAGATAATAACCAAAAATTTTGAAACAAAAACCTTTACCATGACCCCAGCAGTAGTTCAAAATCTAATATCTCATTCTCCAGCAGGATTCATAGTCCCTTTCATGACATTGGATGCAGACACTAACCAAAGCGATTATAAATTATGTCAAAAAGCCACAATACAATATCCCTCATCCCATAGCTTCTCTCCAATGGGTGTTCTCATATCATTTACTACAACAGCAGATAAGCCGGAATATCCAAAAAAAAAAAAAAAATTTTTACTCCAAAGCCTATTTCAACCAGCAGAGGCAAAAGGAGGCAGACTCGTATTTAAAGGTGTAATAAAAAAGTAAATGAAGCATATTAAATGGACTCGAGCAGGCAGTACAAAAGCTCTGTCCATCCAAGGGGCCCCATGCTTATATGCTTCCAAGTGATCTCTTCATCAGAAAAGCACTTGCTATTAGATTGCACTTTCAAAATCAAAGGACAGTGCATGCAGGGATAAACAGCCCTTCTGAGTAGCGTCACCCAATAAAAGGTCACCTTCTATCAGCATCTGGGAGCATATCAAAGTAGGAATCAAGCACATGTGCACAACCGTGTACAAATTAATCGTCAAGATAATAATAGGATCCAGCAGACTTCTGCTCCCTGTCCTTAGTTGAATCCAGCTTGTTGATTCTTGGACGGTAATTAGTCGGATCCCTTCTAAATGTAATGTCAAGGTGCTGCGTAACCCAACAAAATCGTAAACGAAAAGATTGGATGATAACAGAAGAAAGAAAGAAATGCCAGAACACAGCTTTAACAATTGTACAGCAACTTTCAAATATCCTACAGATGTATCCATGTTTCGTAGAAAAATGGAGGATTGCGACTTTTTTACTCACATATTTCTTCCTTTATATTTTCTTGGTTTCGAAAAGGGTTAGGTGGTTGGTTTAATGATCCAGAGTTAAAGCATGAAGGAAGAAGTACATAAAACAGAATAAGGAGACCTAATGGATAAGAAGTACATGAAACAGAATAAGGAGGCTTACAGATAAGAACAAGTTCATTCCAGTCAACAATGACTGAGGTGAATTAGCAACACAATCTATGGAAGGCCTTCCCTCATAGACAATGACACGATCTGCTAGGTATGTTGCCATTATGAAGTCATGCTCAACCACAAATGCTGTCTTCTTCGCATGAAGTATGAACCTCTTTATGACTTTTGAAGCAACAATACGTTGCTCGGAGTCAAGATATGCACTCGGTTCATCAATGAGATATATATCAGCAGGCTGCATAAGTGAGCAAACATGAAAATTCATATTAAAAAGAAACAGAAAACAAATAAAACTACATCTGCAAGACTTCTTATAGATAGCAGTTGAGGGTCATGAAATTTCATTCAGGTCCTTAGTTCCAGTTGCATTGCAAGCAAACTGCTAGCAAAGCTATAGGACAGAGCATTTCCATTATTTCAGTAATAGAAACAATCAGATCAAAATTCCATTTACTTAAAGAATAAGTTCCATTATCCAAAAATGATTGTAGCTACTAGTTCTCATGGTTATAACCTCTATGCCAATCTGTTCCACTGTGCAGCATGCTAATGCATCTTTTGCAACTACCTTTTTTTTTGAGATAGATTTGGTTTATATCACTGCTGCACTTTCAACACTAGCCCTTTGATTCATTGTAACAATTGCACGCACTTTGTAATCATCAACCTCTCTAGGCTACTAAACATACTTTTTATGAACTTTTCGCCCTTTTGCTGCCTCAACCAGTTTACATCTCTAGTCCATCCCTATGTACCACACATTATCTAGTATATTTAAGTTTTTTTTTTTTAAGTGTAGGTGGGAGGTCTCGAACCCGGGACCTCTCTCTCACTCACTCCCTTCCCCCCAAAGTATAGTTAAAATTAACCTACTAAAAAACTGCTTGGTATTCGTTTTTCATAATAAAGTGCCACTATGCTATATAAGCTCAAGTTTTTGGAAATCAGACACGCCTGCTGCAGCCCAGCAAATTTCACCAATAAATAGAACAGGGCACACAAATTACATTTTAAAAAAAATGAAAAAGCAGCAGACACTTGCAACTATTGCTTAATCTACATCTAAAACAATTTGACCTCCAAGATCCATAGACAAGATTAGGCCTTTCCAAGGCAATCAATGCAGAACTAATAACAAAACTACAGTTTCACAAAAGTTGAATGACAGAAGCTAAATTTTAACAAGAAATTGACTTGAAAACTTGGATACAAAAGCATTCTTTGTCCAATAAACACAGAACATTGTACTATTTTCATTGTTTTTAACCAAGCAAGTTGCAGCCTGCATCAAGTTGCCACCATCTCAGGGTATAGACATCCTAATCCAACACATGTACTTCAAGCCGTCAATCACATTAAATCAATTGGTCATTTGTTGAAGGTAATTTAACCACAAGATTAAATCCATCTCAATTGTCCAGATTCCAAATCTACCAAACTACAAATGCCTTGCTCATTTGCAGCATACAATGCAAATTAACAAAGAAACAAAAAAAGATGCACATAAAAGCATTTACAACATCACTCAGCAGAAGTTCAAGACAATCTAGATTAATTTATCCATGAAAAGCAGGTTAGATTTTATGGGGCAAAAGACAATGGATAAAAGAAGAAAATGAAGTGGAAATATATGAAACCTTCAAATCAGCTTCAAAAGAATAACTTTAGCTCCATATGTTAGAAAAGGAACAATGAATAGGAGAAACAAAATGCGAAACCAAGTTGGAATAACACCATCATCCAGAAAACTTACCTTCCCAAGGCAAAGAGCTAGGGCAACTCTTTGTAACTCTCCACCAGAGAGATTTACAACTTCTTGATCCATTAATTGCTCAATTTGGAGAGGCTTCATGACATCTGATACAAACTGAGGATGAATGTACGAATCACGAATTTTTGAATGTAGCAAGTGCCTCACGGTATTCTGAAATTTAGGGCTGATCTTCTGAGGCTTGTAAGAAACATTAAACTCAGGGATCTCCACATCAGAACCCTCCACGGTATCAGGCTTTAGTAAACCAGCCTGCCATTTCAACATGTAAGATCAGCCTTCAGTGAGTAAGTAGAGTTAAACATTTGAGAAATGGAGAAACTATTAAAATAAAACATACCAGCATGCGGATGAATGTTGTCTTTCCAGTCCCATTTTCACCGAGCATTACAATAATCTGAGAATCAGTAAATTCGCCCTCAATCACCTTAAGCTTAAAATTACCCTGAGTTTTACTCATAGTTGGGTATTTATATCGTGCATAGGTCTCAATCTCCTCAGCACTTTCCTGTGGAGTCTCAGCTACCTGGTAGAAATGTACACCAAATTAGCATCGTGCTCTTTACTGAAAATGCCGTGCTAGGTCAGTTACATTTACCTTAAAAGTGAGAGATTCATCCCTGAACCGTAGATTTTCCGTGGGGACAAATCCAGCCAAAAATATATTAATTCCTTCTCGTACTGAGAATGGAAGAGTCACAACACCATATGCACCAGGTTTCCCATATAGACAGCAGATGAAGTCTGATAAGTAATCCAGAACACTGAGATCATGCTCTACAACGATCACATAGCTGTAAAGTAGGGTTCAATGGTGTCAGTACCTCTTATGCTATGTAACTAACCTCTGACTCTGAAGGCAAGTAGAAACAGCATAAACATTTTACCTGTTAGGTCGGAGCAAAGATCGAACAACTTGGGCAGCCTTAAGCCTCTGTTTAACATCAAGGTAACTAGAGGGTTCATCAAACATATATATTTCTGCATTCTGTATGGCAACAACTGCAATGGCAAATCTTTGAAGCTCTCCACCAGATAAATCTCCCACATTACGGTCCAACACTTGATTCAGCTCAAGATCCTCACAGAGATCTTGTTTCATATCTCTTTCATCTTTTTGATCAAGCACTTGACCAACATTACCTTGGACTGCCTTTGGAATATGGTCAACATACTGGGGTTTGATTATTGCCTAATAAAGGAGGGAACAAAAAAGATTAAAACAAAAGGCCATATCAAAAGATAAAGCACTAATTATCATATAAGAGTAACGACATGTAAGATTAGAGAGTAAATTTAACCCAGACAAATAAGCCACTAATTTAAATCAATTGTTCGCATTTGAAACATTTTCACAATTTTGGCTGGACATATCATACTTTGAAAATTTTAAGCACAGGAAGTCTACTTAATGCCCTTAATTGCAAGTGACCAACATATGTAATCTCCGGGATGCTAAGCTAATCAAGCAGCCAAGAGCAATGAAACTAACTATTTCATCTCCAAAGAAACTGAGTCTTGGTTCTACCCTAATAACCTATCATCAGGTCATTTAAAACATTCTACACAATTAAGCCACATATCCACCATGATAAACAAACACAACAGATGGGATACACAAAACAGATTCAGGAATAACAAGTATAAATCATAGCCAATCTTTCACTCAGGAATACCTACCCACCAAAGCAGATAGAATGTTTATCCACATAACCATAAACATATGTAATTCCAAGGTCAGAATGTCTCTATTGACCATAAAAATTAATTTAAAGATGCTTATACAACGTAATACAAGCAGATAGACCATCAGATGACCAACATAACCAAAGTGCACCAAATAGTCATCACAAACTACTATGACTGATAATCTCTTTTTTTTTTTTTTTGGGGTTGGAGAGTGTGGGTGGGTCATGTCACAAATGGAATGGTCATCCACAGCAATGAGTCAAAGCATTTAAACCAATGGACCTTTAAGTTATCTTCCAGAATACGAGTAAAATAATTCTGGAGTTCAGATCCTCGGAAGTAGGTCAAGATCTCTTGCCAATCAGGTGGATTCTGCAACAGAAATAGATGAAACTCATCATCAAAGAATCCAACAAAAAGAGTAAATAAAGTCAGATAATAGCCAAAACAATTACATTAAAGCGCCCCAAATTAGGTTTCAACTTCCCAGCCAGAACTTTGAGGGCTGTTGATTTCCCAATGCCATTTGTTCCAACCAGGCCAAGAACCTGACCAGGTCTTGGGACTGGTAGCCTGTAACATGTACACTTGGGTGAAACCAATTTACAACCCTGACCAAAAATGCTTTCCACATAAAACCATACAGAATCACTTGATGTAAATGACAGGTAAAAAAATGAAAACAAGCAAGAGTCAAAAAATTCACAGTAAACAGATGAAGAAACTTGAAACCGATTTTCAAATCATTTACTGAAAAAGGAAAAGCCACTCTAAAATTCTGCATCTAGTCAAGACTAGAGTTGGACTCAATGATGCTTAACCTTGATACTTGAGACGTAAGAAAGCTCAGAAAGAAGAAACTCCAAATTCTAGTAACCAATACCTCTTCAACCAATATCAGAATGACCAAGAAATTTACTATTAAATCTAAAAGTCAAACGGATTAGGAGATACTGTCTAAACATGCCAAATGAGCTAAGAATTTATAGGTTCCACATGATTGCTTATCTAATGTCTTGAAAACACCAATAAACTGACCTGTGCAACTTGAAAGTGTTTGGACCATAACGATGTGTTGTATCTTTATCCAAGTCTTTTGGCAAATTGATAATCTGAATTGCTTCAAATGGGCATTTCTGAATCACAAATGAGACATTGGTCAGCAAGACTAATCCTAATGTGCACCATCAAGCTATAAAATACTATGAATATATGCTACATCATACACACCTTAACGCAAATACCGCAGCCAATACACAACTCTTCTGAGATGAAAGCGATCTTAGATGCAGGAGTCACCTCAATACAAAGTTTCCCTGGCAGTTGCACAAAGAAATGTGTCAAAACGCATATGCTTGAATTCCAACATGTACATTACTACAGTAAACTCCTCTACCAAAAAAAAAAGATAGTAGACAGAAACAAAACCTCAACAGAAAAGAATAAAACAAGAGATAGCATGCAGTGAATCAAAGTCAATGAGAAAATAGATAAAGATCTGTGTTCACTTTTAACAGTTTGATGTTCACAAGTGCTATTAGAATAAGAACAATTCAATCAAATTGACAATTTATAAGATAATGTTGTCTTCATATGGCATAAAATCAACAAATTATTATTTTTCTTCTTTCTTTTGGAAGGAATAAGTAGATAGGCATCTGGTACACACAATAATGTTTGTTGGGGAAATATTTTGAACTGGAAAATGCTGGAAGTGTTTGATGTTAATGTTGCTTATTTCATTGCCAACTAAATGTAGTTTGATCATGCAGATTACTACTTCAAGCTAAATTATATTAACTAACAGAGTTACACTCTTTCCCTTGGCCAACCTCTTGATTCTTTACATGAGACCTTACAAGGAAATGTGACTCACACCTATTTGACTACAAAATTTTCCTATGTCACTAATAGGAAATTAATAGCCACAATCAGATGGAACTCATTAATTCTTGAGAAGAGACAGTCATATTATTCAAGAAACATTAAGTAATGTGTGTGACTAAGAGATATGGTTTGTTTCTCATTTTTTTAATTGGCATATCAAGTTATCAAATGATATTGTCAACTATAAAACACTATAGAATCCATCTTTATTCTGTGCCCCTTTTTATTTTGAGTAAATTTTATATACACTGACAGTGTATACAGTATCACCGTTTGATTCATAGCATGTCTGTAAAACTTGAATTTCAAATTCAAATTTTGCATAGTTGTCATTCATCCAACACTGACGTACTAAGAAAGATTAATCCTTTATTTTTTTTTATACCTTATCACTAATTGATTATAGCTTATTGTTATGAAACTGATTGATGTCTCATGGACTTGTCATTTCTTAACTACTCAATTTCATTTTCATACCTTGTTTGTGGTTTTCATTTTGAAACCTTAATGTGATTAGCATGAGCTAACTATATATGCTTAAGTCATTGATTTATGCATATGCTTCTTAAGGCCTCTGTGTGTGTGGGTCTGTCTCTGTTGATGAGTTGCCTTGTACGTAGCACAACCATAACTTCAATATATAGCATTATTATGAATATTACAAAACCATGTTTATAACAATTTCAAATGTAGACATTCGTATATAGCCATTCAAAATTTGACAAAAATTTGCTTTGATATTTTCAACACATGAATCATTTGTATAAGATCACTTTCAATCATCTAGATGTTTTAAAATTTTGCACATTTTAAAGTTAGTTTACTAACTCAAAATTTTCTAAGAAGCCAAAAAGAAAAAATAAAAGGGCTAAGGAAGAACACCAATATACCTTGTTGACTTTGTAACAAAAAAAGATAGAAGGGAAATTGTTTTGCTGTGTTTTGCCTAGTCAATTAATGTTTATAAAATAGCACGACTACATTTAGACATGGCCATCATTCAGATTTGATCAGGAACTAGACCAACGATTTGCCAAACAAGAATCAAAACTGGCTTATTAGAGAACCTAGAACGGGGACTAGAACCGTGATTAACTTAAAAATTAGAACCGTTTTAGGTCGATTTGAACCCTCCAGTTTTAAAAAAAAATTGATACATTTTTCCTTTTCAGATTAAATTTCAATGAGATGATTATGTATTTCTTCTTTTATTATGGTGTATTTTCATAAAATTTGTATGAATTTCCTTGTCACAGTTAATAATACAACAATTTTTTTCTTTTACATTCATTTTCTTTAGTTTCTCCTTACTTTAAGTTCATTGTCATATTTTCTTATAATTGAGTTTGTAATCATGACTGATCAAGTGTAACAAGAAGGAACTATGCCGTAATTGAAGAAAATTGGAATCAAAGATATCAAAACCGAAACCGTAGCCGAAACCAAAAAAAAAAAAATTTGACTGTCTGTTCAAACCACATATAGCAATTCTAGAACTGTGACCACCCAAACTACAATTACGTATCAATAAGCCAATGGTTTCACCAATTTTTTTTGTTTTTTGTTTTTAGCCCAGTGTATGTTGTTTCTTGATCATTCAAGATCCCATCATAAATATTTCTGTTTTCCTTGTCATACCTTTCATGCACGGAAGCAGAAACTCATCTGTTGAAACAGCAAGAAATGGCCTAATGATACTTCAAGCTCAATCAACGGAAGGACAAATAATCTTGAGAAATTTTATCCTCGTTTGGATCACCAACTTAACAAGCCCAGTAATTAGTTTGTCCCTTGAGTTGACCGAAATGGTAGAGTTGGTAATTTTGCATAATTAGATCTCTGATACGTTGAGATGAGAAAGGCATTCAAATATCTGAGCAATTGAAAAATAATAATTTTTACTACAATAAATCTATACAAGTTAAGAAGTTTTTTGAGTAAGAAAAAAGAGTACTTCAAAAAGAGTTCTCAAGGACGTGAACATGGACCAAATGTATGCCCAAATAATTTGTGTTTCGAAATTATTCTAATTACTCATCTATGCCCTCACTTTGTATTTAAATTTGATACCTATTAGGCAAAGATAACAAGAAAGTACAATATCTGTAGTTAAGTGCTGCGTTAGCAGATGACGAGGTTCCTCCTCTAAACTTAGCAAATCTAGAGTTGATGATAAGCACAAGAGGGATGAGTTTGGGCCTTTTGTCATTGCAAAAAGTTTTTTTTTTTTTTTTCATTGGAAAAAGGTTGACAAACATATATATATATATTTGACAAAGCTCCACTTTTTAATATGGGTACAGATTAGCTAGGTCATGACACAAGGCACATTTATGATAAATGCCAAGTTACAGCCACCTAGGAGACGTACGTATGACATTGCTTCATTGTAGTTTCAGTTAAAAGGCATGGGATGTATTAATTGAAAAGTAGAGAAAATAGACAAAATGCTCAACATCTAAACTCTAAACAATGTCAAATTTGGTGATGCATGAAAGCTTTACACATTAAGGAACCACAAGAAGAAAGTAGTAGAAGAAGAAGATGAGAACAAATTGTTGGGCTGCTGACAGAGGGGAATCATCCTAGCTAGGAGCGCACACACATTAGCCGTCGACGCATCAAAAGCTAAGGGAGTTAATGGGTTGAGTTAATGGACTAACGCCCTCCCCATATCACAAACGCCATATTTAAAAAAAAAAAAAAAAACTGAACTAGGGTAGAACTAAGGTAGTAAGGTTTCATTATTTTATTTAGGGTTCTTTTACTCTAAATTAAGGGATAATTTCAGAAACCCTCCGAGGTTTCTAACTATTTCACTGGCCTATCTCCAGATTTTAAAAATTACACTAACCTTCCTTAAGATTTATTATCTTGCAACATCTAGGTCCAACCAACAATTAAAAAGTGATATTAGGAGAGGGAAGATAATATGATTTCAATATTGCCCCTCACCTACTAAATTGTTTAATTAATTTAATACCAACTCAAACATTAAAAAAAACGCTAAAATTTACTATTTATCATCAGGGATTAAATCACATATGGCATCAAAATTAACATATCATTCTATACATTTCACTTAATGTAAAATTCAAATTGCTCTTTTCAGTTACAAATTCATTGTCAAATATGGTCAATAACAAATAATTAAAAAATCTGTACCCAAAATATTGTAAAGAGCGAATTTTAATACCATAAAAATCTCAGCAACTAATCTTAATATGTTGACAAAAATGTTTATAATGTTAAAGTTTGTTCTTTGTAATATTTTGGTTGCAAAATTTTTTATTATTTGTTATTGACCATATTTGACAATGGGCATGTAATTGAAAAAGAGTAATTTGGATCTTATATTAAGTAAACAAATATAAAATGATACACTACTTTTGATACTATGTCATTTGATCCCTAATGATAAACAACAAATTTTAGTATTTTTCTTTAATGTATGGGTTAGTATTAAATTAATTAAATAATGTAGTAGATCAGGAGCTATGACGGAATCATATTATCTTCTTTCTGCTAATATCAATTTATAATTATTGATTGTACCTAAATGTTTCAGGATAATTAACCTTAAGGAAGGTTAGTGTAATTTTGCAAACTTGGAGAGAGGCTGTGAAATAACTAAAAATCTCCGGGGAGGTTTTTGAAATTATCCCCTAAATTAAAGACACATGATA